ACTGGACTACAACCTGAGTCCATGAGTGCACGTTCATCTGATGGTTTTTAATCTCATAAGAGATTAAATCCAATGGGTTTGATTGGTCAATTACATGAGAAATTGCACCTGCACACTTGATTGAAAAATCGGTTTTTTTCTTACAAAAACCCAGTTTTGAACTTGTCCCACATTGGAAAATTATAAGTTTTGTTTTCAGTATTTCAATAGGAGTTGATTTACACTCCTTAGAATTAGTAGATGAGAGTATGGGGATTCGATCGGGTGTGATCAAGAGGCACAATTCAAAGTTAACAGTCACTAATTGTTAAGTACTTTTTAAACAGTCACAATGTTTGAAATTATGACTGTTCAAGGTGCCTTCTCTAAACCATCACCTACCTTTTCCTCATACTTCTTCACAAATTATTTAAGGAGCATGAATCAGACTCCAAAACACAATTTCAAAATTCACTCTCTCTCTCTCTCTCTCTCTCTCTCTCTCTCTCTCTCAGTCCGGTCTGCTACAGTCTCACAGAAGGTTTATTTGGAGACTCTTCAACTTTGCTGGTTGCAGATTCTCGCCCAAGGCTCTGTTATATCCTGGGAACGAATTTGCTTGCAACCCAACAGCAAACTCAGTGAAACTGAGTGGGGGCAAATAACGTTCTAAAGACAGTGTCTTCAGACGCGCCTCAGAGCTTCTCCTCCAAAGTTACAGTGACCCCATCTTCCCCAACATCATCTCCGCTAGCTGTTACTCCCCTATGTATAAGCACTACATCAGCTCGACAGCTCCTATTGCAGCTCCTTCTCAGCTCACGTTACAGGTTGCTCCTAGTGCGCCTACTTCACCTATTACAGCTCTAGCCGAGCCCATGCAAGATATATAATTCCAGTTCTGCTTCACCGATTACAACTCCACTTGAGCCCATGATACCTACTCTTCTATCTCCACCCATTAGGCCCACCGCCGTTGTTGTCCGGTTTGCTCTTGAATCTGGTACGGATACACCTTCTTCCCTTACACCGTACTCCGCTGAGCTCTTGTTGTTCCCTCAGGTACTGCTTCCCGAAGGTCACTTAGCCAACTTCCTAAGGCCCTTCTTTCTAAAGTTGCGTCGGTTGAACCCTCATTTTACACTATTGCTAAGACGTATCCAGAATGGTGGCAAGTTATGCAATGTGAATACGATGCTTTTATTAGAAACAACACTTGGTCCTTTGTGCCTACCCTAGATAATGCCAATACGATGCTCTGGGGTTTGTTGGCTCTACTCAATCCAATCATGTGTGCAAGCTTCATAAGGCTTGTACAGTCTCAAGCAGGTTCCTCGGGCCTGGTTTTTCCGGCTGTATTCTTATCTCTTGCAGTTGGGCTTTAGTGGGTCCACATGCGATCCCTCCCTCTTTCTTTTTCATGATCGAGGTATCACCCTCTATGTTTTGGTTTTTGTCAATGACATTATTGTCACCGGGTAATCAGCCCACTGTTGTAAACTCGCTCATTGCTTCACTCTCTAAGCACTTTGCCATCGAGGATCTCGATGAACTCTATTTCTTCCTTGGTATTCAGGTGTCCTGTGCTTCATCTGGGTTTATCCTCTCCCAGTGTCAATATATTATTGACTTGCTTCATAAAGCTAGTCTCACTGATGCTAAGCCCATGGGCACGCCTTTTGCCGTTAACTGCAAACTCTCCAATATTGATGGCACTCACTTGTTTGACCCAACAACTTATCGAGCATAGTTGGCTCCCTACAGTACATTACTATTACCAGACCTGATGTGGCCTTTGCCATCAATAAAGTGTGCCAATTTCTCTCTCAGTCTTAGCCCGCATCTACACTTTGGAGTATAGTTAAACGCATTCTCAGGTACCTAAAGGGGGACTCTCTTTACGGGAGTTTGGACGAATTCAAGCTTCGAAAGTTACAAGTTTGCAATCCTAAGTTTATCTCTTTTATTCATAAAACTGTTTGCTTTTTCATGGAGCTAAGTCAATGCCATGAATTGGGCACAAAAATAGATGAATTTAAAGCAATGATCCGTGAAATAAAGGAGATAAGGGACAGATACAAATTGAGTAGTTCGATTCAAGGATGGAGTTCCATTTCTAGGAACCATATGAGACATGATTTTTGGGTAGCTTCTCTTTACATGGAAGAAGATCAAATTGTGGGCATAGACAAGGCTAGGGATGAATTGGTGCGTTGGTTTGTCGAAAGAGATTCAAGGCGTATGGTGTTTGCCATGGTCGGAATGGGTGGACTGGGCAAGACGACTCTCGTCAGAAAGGCTTTCGACCATGAAAAGCTGATCGCACACTTTGAATGTCGCGCTTGGGTAACCGTGTCCAAGTCTGTTGCAGCCCACGATCTACTGAGGACGATGCTGAAGCAATTTTCTGAGGCAAGAGAAGAGTCATCATAGGTCGACAGAATGGAGATGATCACTACAAGAAAATCGACCATTGGCAACAGTCAACTTTTTACAGTTAGAAATGGTTGTTGCCAAAAGCCTAATTTTAGCCACAATTGATTTCTACTGTTGTTAAAACCATGGACTGGCAACAGATTTTATCCAATTGTTGCTAGTTCCGTATCCAACTGTTGCAAATAGCACCTTTTTTTGACAACAATTGATTACCATTGTTGTTAAACCAATGCATTGACAACAGGCCTTATTCAATGGTTACTAATTGTAGACCAACCGTTGCTAATTTCTATCAACATGTGGCAACAATCATAGAAAAGTTGTAGTTATAGTGATTTAAAACATTCAACAACTCTTTAAAGAATGTTTAATATGGAAGCAACAAAAAGAAAAAGGTTCATCTTAACTTATTTTATATTTTTATTGGGGCAGCTTAAATGGGAGAAGTGATTTCAATGGGTCAAGTTTAGTATAAGTTTGGTTAAAATACAGAAAAATGCAAAAAAAAAAAAAAGAAACAATTTCAAACTTTTATGGCATTTATATAATTTCTATTTTTAATTTTTGATTATAGTAATAGAAGGACATGATAAAGAAACAGCTTTTAATCAAAATCAATCAGTATCATATAATAAAATGGTAACAAATTAGTAGGATATGTATCAAATCATAGAGGGGTTTTGATTGGTCAAAGTCCTCACCATGTCTTTCCGAAAACATAGTTTTTTTCCCTATTTTACAGTTATTTGTCATTTCAATATTTTTTTTCCTATAACATTATGCTATAGTGTAATTGGAATAAAAATTGTGAGAAGTTTTGGGTTGGATGGTTCAACCGTTTGCATCAAGCAATGGTTTGAAAACATTGGTACCTTTACTCGATTAATCTCAAATATACAAATATTTCAATGTTGAAATATCAATAATACATTGTTTCGAGAATTGTAACGATTAACTGGTTTGTAGACTTACCTGTTCATTGGTCGGGTAGCCCAATGGCCCGGCCTGGCCCAACCCACACCCTGGTTGGGCTTGGACATGTAGTTAGGCCCATGGGCCTGACCTCGGGCCCAGAACACCAAATCCAATTGTGTTTCGGGCCGGGCTCAGGATTTGTCAAAAAATCTCGGCCCGATTAATTTATATAATATAAAATATATAATATTTATTATAATATATATTAATAATTTAATATATACATTTTTTATTTTTCTTTATAACTTCTCTCTCTATTTCTCTTTGTTCAACTGCTTCAACAATAGCAGTGGCAACAAGTTGAGCTTTAGACTTCAGGCTTGGGCCCAAGTTGTAGGCCCGATGGTTGGCTCGGGCTTGGGCAGAGGCCTTGAAAAAATATGTTAATGAAGAGTGAAAACCTGGCCCGGCCCATGAATAAGGTCTATTGGTTTGATAAAAGAAATTGTAAACTACTCCACTAACCAATTTGCTGTTTAGGCTCCAAACACCGGTGAATCTGCCATAATTGGGCAAATCAAGAATTGGTGAACTAGTTTTGATTTCATAAAACTGATTCTTTTTTATTCATATATATTTTTTTAATTTTTATCTCAACTTCTAGACTAGGTCATAATTTTTAACTTTTTTGTGATCTATATGCATTAATTACCAAGGGGCCCAAAGAGAAATAGACTTTTTTGTGATCTAGACTCGACTATTGGGCATAGATCTTTAGATTGAGAATAACCCTCATATAAATCTCGAAGCTCAACCAAGAAATTGGGAAATAAGATTTTTTTATTCAACAATAAAATTGATTTATTTATATTAAATAAATAAACCTGACTCGTTATTGAGCAATTGGTTTATTCAACAATAAACCTGACTCATTGAGCAATTGGGCCCATAAAGAGGTTTACCTGCCACCTACATGGAAATAACCATTCACAATTAAAATAGGGTTAGGCCGAGTCTCATATTTAGCTACTAGAATTTGAGAATGACCCAACCCAAATCAACTCGAAAAAAACTGGATTGGGTTATGTGCAACCCGCTGACCCAATTGTCAAGTCTAATTGGGATTATTTATGTATTTTTAGAAGTTTCTACTATTTAATCTTTACCATTTATTCTTTGCTGTTTATTGTTTACTCCTTGAATTGTTAAATGTTCAAGTTTTTTATTGTATTTTTCAAATTTTAAGGTTAATTCCTTTAATTTTGGCATTTTAAGCTATTTTTCTTTATTTTTTAAAATTTCAATTATATTTTAGGATGACTTGAATTGACCAGTAGGTCAATCCTAATTCAAACATTTAGGTTAGGGTCTAGCATTTATCAATCCAACCCAAAATTCAATCTGACCCGAAATCAACCTGAAATGTCCTGACCTAACTCGAACCCGACCCACCCAACCCAATTGCCAGGTCTACTGCTTAACATAATTATTTCTAATAATTTAAAGGAAAACATAATTATTTATAATTAATTACTCATTACAATTTTTCTTACCAAAATTAATTCTTTAATTACGCAACCCAACAAATAATTAGAAAGTTACCACTGCCCGCCACATCTAATTCTATTCCCTCCATCGAATATCCCAAATTTTGAATTTTCCACCACGGCAAGTAAAACAGCAAAACCCCACGAGTTTGAGCTCGACGCCTCAACAACTTCGAGTTTGACTTGAACGTGAAAGAGCATCACTAAGAAATTGTTGGGTTTTCTATTCTGATTTATTGGACTTCTACGATTCACCTGCTCTTCTAGGCTCTCTCTATTTTTCTCTCTATTATTTTATTTGCTGGTTTCTATTAGGGTTTCCCATTATTTTCTATAGGGTTTTCTACTTTTCTCATTATTTTAACATTAGGTTTGTAAATTTGTAGTGGTCGATCAAGCTAGACAGGGGGGCTATAAGATAAAAATAGTGACTTGAAGACAAACCATCCATAAGATTCGCGGTTGTAGTGACTTGAGGTAAGATGTTGATTTTTGTGTTGAAAATTTCTATGCGTCTCTTTCTTGGCCCATCTAACATTATTTGTTTGTTTCTGGAAAACAGGGTCAAGTTTGGCCTTTCTCACGATAGCATATAACATACCCAGAAGTGAGACTCAATCCCAGGTCAATCTCTATATATCATCTTCCTCTATATTTAATTCTTTTTAACACTGGAGTCATAGAAATATATTCTCTTAGTAAGGGAATTGATGGAGATCAATATTCTTTTGATAAAATACAGTTGGATGCAAATTAAATATTTGACTTGATTTAATAATTTATGTGCTTTTGATAAAGCAATCCATAGAGAACTGGCACGACCATGGCATTCTAAGTGAAGGTTAACATGGTAGAAATGAGATGCTAAGGTATAATATTAATTTAAGGCTTGTGGAGCCTAAAATTAAATTTCAATTAGATGTGGAGGTTTTATATTCTGCAATTGCAATAGAAAAGAATCCAAAAACGAGGCTGCTTATTGGTTTTTGATACAATATATGGAATGCTATCTGTATAGGGATTGATGAGATATGTGGTGGAGAGTAGCACTTGGGCCAGATCCATTGCACTATTCCTAAGGGATTCTTTGAATTCTTCATTCAACTAAAAACCTAGAAGTGCCAATTCGTTGGATGACAGTTTAGCTAGAGCAAGAGTATCAAAGGTTAATCTAGAGTGGGTCCAGGGCTGGGTTGTAATCTGTAGATTGTGAGTTTTTATTTTTGTTCAGCTTCAGTTTTGTACTTTGCCTCTTATTCCTTTGGGCCAATTTGTTGTATTATGGTTTTTTCAGCTCCTTAATGAATGGATTTTATCTGTTATTTATTAAAAAAATAAAATATAAAAGAACATCTATTTGATCATTCAAATGAAAGGTCAAACCATGAAATTCTTTTACATATAAATAATCGTAAGGCTATAACCCTTAAAAATTTCATGGTTGTGGTTGGTTAGTTGGAAACTGTAGCTTACCTGAACCAAGCCAAGTGGATTCATGGCGATTTCCACCATAGCGTTGAGCATATGGCATCTTATGAATGGATTATGAATGAAGAACATAATATGAGTCATGAATAAGTAGCCCTTATCAAAGAAAAGGGAATTTTAAGGTATTAGAAAAGAGATGATAAACAACATGTTAAGACTTATAAAACAAGTTTGGCCTTTCAAATCTGAGATTCCAACATAAGCTGTTGTGTTATTCCCATATTTAATGATGTCTCATGCATGAGGAAGAATTAAACCACTCCATGGAAAATCTAAATAAATTCAAGATTAAACTATGAGGGTTACTAATAAATTGCCATTAGTTGTCAAGATCCACATAATTGTTAAAGATAGGAAGCACAAGCATGCTCTTTCTAGGGTGAAACATTAGCAGAACAAAATGGGATATCCATCTACAGTTGTCTTTTGATACACACTTTTTAATAAGAAGCAACAAATATTCGATGCAAAACCTAATTGCTATAATTGAATAACAGAAACCAAAATGGGATATCCATTTGCAGTATATGTGATCATTGCTTACTCAAGTAATGCATGAACAAAGAAGTCAAAATCAGACTTTTCTGATTTGTCTGGCCACAACTAGCGTAAATGAACTTTCATAGTCATCATATAAGTGTTTTAGGAGTAAAGCACTTTACTTATTGTTGGACTTTTCTAAGTACTTAGGTAAATTGGATGTTTTTTTGAGCCAAACTTTGCTTATTGTTCCTTGATGTGTAAAATATTTGGATAATCTACATTGGTGTATAGGGTTGGTGTTGACCAAGGGAGTGAACATTGACCAATTCAGAGGATATTCACTTGATGGATAGTTTGGATTGGTTACAGGGGTACTCTAGGTAAGGTTGTCTAGGTAACTTTCTAGTTGACCTGATTAGCAAATTTCTCTGGGTCTCTCCCTATTTTGTTTATTATTTTTGGATCAATGACTGGAGAATTAAATTAAAAATGCGAGATGAAAAGATACAATAGTCAATCCACTGAATAGATGGGCAAGACTAGAAGAAGTCTCAGAAGAGATCAATCATGTATATTACTCTAAGAAGAATGAGGTATAACCTTTTTTCTTTTTAATTTTTTCAAGCTGAGTGAAGTACAACTGTACAAGCAAGTTGTATCCTGAAATAATTCCTCCCAAAACCACTTTAGTGTTGTATGTTATGTAAAAAGCCAAGTATCCTGCCAACTCCTACTATATTTATGAAAAAAAAAATGATAAAAAAAAGAAATCAGAGAGCTTACTTATAAGCCATGACTCCTCATGGAGGGTCAATGACTCCAAGCTTAATGTCTTCAATACAACTAGATAAAGATATGCAGATAGAGCAGGACACATATGGGATTGCAGTGTCACCCGTATCCAAATGAGTATTTGACACTTCCAAACAGTGCTCGCACTATGCTTTCTTTATGGGGTTGCAAAGGAAACTAGGGGTGAGAGTCCAAGAAGGTCAACAATCTGACATACGTGGGACAGTAGATGAGTTTAGGCATTCAGTAAACATGTACGTATTTTGGAAACCAGGGATGGAGATATATGTTTTACATGTTCGTAGAAAACAGATTCCTTATGTGTTTCCAGATGGGTATAGGCGTCCTCGGCCATCTAGGATTTCAAGCCAGTTGGCTGATAAATCATCTCGGGATGATGATGAGACCAGGGCTAGATCAATGGAGAGAAGGCTCAAGAGGAAAAAAGATCCTGAAGATGGTGGTGTAAAGCCAGATAAATGGGCTTCCTTAAGCCCACAAAGGCATGATTCTCTTTCTCCGGAAATTAGTCGAAGCAGATCTGGGTGGAGCATCTCAGTCCAGCACTGTTGAGTGTCGAGTGGAATTTCTGACAACATGAATTCTGGATAAGAATGCTCAGCCTGGATCTTCAGACAAAAAGTTGGGGACAAAAAAGGAAACTGCACAGGATGATGTGCAGCCAGTCCCAATGGATAATTCGTTTCCTTTTCTAACTGATCATCATCCCATGTGTGAAGAGAGCAGTAAACCTGGCATAACATCTCAATCCAACTGTGATGGGGTTAGTGGGAATGGATTGGTAGGTGACATGGAGATTGCTCTTGTTGGTTCTAACAATAGGCCGCTAGAGAATAAGGATGTGAAGCTCAACATTTTGGACAAACAGGTTTCAGCTATTTCAAGGCAGGAATCGCTTACCCCTTCCACAGAAGATTTATGTCAAATGGATGGTGAGGCTAATTCTGTATGGAGAAGACTTACATGGGCAAGGGGTGAAGTTGTGGATGACAGGGAACTGGTTAGACTGGAGCAGCAATCTTGCCATTGAAAATGCTGATGATGCTGGTTTAGGAGATAATAGCATCTCAAATGCTGCATGTGAGGTTAGTTCCTCTGAGGTAGTCCAATGAGAATCTGTAGCAAGTAGCGATGAGAGCACTGCTACTGGGTCTTTGAAGGAAGTGACAACTACGGATCTTTGCAGGTTGATCCATGACTCATGTGGCACTTGGGATGTCCTTTAGTTTAGGTGAAACTCTGAAGGCAAACAAACCACTGTTTTAACAGATACTATTTTGTAGCCAGCATTTTAATCTTTTTGATCAATAACACATTAATGTGAATTTTATTAGAAAAAGGGAAAATAGAAGTAAGATATGTGCTAAGCTAGATCATCCAGCACACCCAACAATTAATCCCTACTGGCCCTCTCTCTAACCAATGAGTCTGTCAACATGTTCAACCTTTGAACCCACCTGAATGAGGTGTTCATCATGATGTATGCCAAACCATGGATTCCTCTAGAGTAAAGGTACAATTATGGATTAGAGATATCTTCTTTCATCCACCTAATACCTATTAAGGAGTCTCCTATCTCCAGCCAACATTTTAATCAATATGTGACAGTTCACTCCATATCCCCAGACTTACTTTGCACTATGGATTAGAGATATCTTCTTTCATCTACCTAATACCTATTAAGGAGTCTCCTATATCCAGCCAACATTTTAATCAATATGTGACAGTTCACTCCATATCCCCAGACTTACTTTGCACTACATTCACTAACTTAATTTAACATTTTATTTGTTATATTTTTAGTTTAGGATTTTAATGATGCATAAGTTATGTGTTAATATTATTTGTCAACAGAGGCATGTCCTTTCCGCAGGAGAGTTCGAGAGGCCATGACTGAGCTGGATCTTTTTGTAGAGGTGATTTAGTGAATACTTATAGAACGATTTTCAATTTACATTTTTATTTTATGTTTCAAAGGTTCTTATGTTGTTGCTATAGTTGATTATTTTTTCTTTTTTTTTTCTTAGATTTTTATGAGGTGGTTATGGGATGGTTCTCTTGCAGTGGATGCTTTTTATGGGCATTCTCTAGGATTATATGCTTTTTATTATCATGAGACTCAAGAAAGTGTCTGGAGCTGGGTTTGATCCTAAATAATGTTAAATGAACCTAAACCTTGACATTGTGGATTGTTCCCAACTTATTCATAAAAAGGAAATAAATAAATAAAGGAAAGCTTCCATAGTTGACTTTCCTAATGAATAAAATAGTAAAATGCTATAGTCAATCTGTAACCTACTTTTTCTGTAATCTAGCAGTCACAAAAAGCATAGTTTCCTTCATCTATAAGTTGAGTTAAATTATCACTTTTACCTTCTTAGAATTGATTATAGAAAAACACTACTATGTGCTCTAGATTGGTTGCTTTATTTTTTTTGTCAATGTCCACTAGACCTGTTCATGGGTCGGGCTTTCACTTTGTATTAATAGATTTTTCTATGGCTCAAGCCTGAGCCCGACCCGACCATTGGGCCTACAACTTGGGCCCGAGCATGACCCTCATAAAAAGCCTGAGGCTTGGGCCTGGGCTTGAGCTCGAAATTTAGTCCATGTTACTACTATTGAAGCGATTGAAGAGAGAGAGAGAGAGAGAAATTATAAAGAAAAAAAATGTATATATTAAATTATAAATATATATATTTCAATACATATTATGTTAGGCCTGAGGTCAGGCCCGCGGGCCTAATTACATGACCAAGCCCGATCGGGGTGTGGGCCAGGCCGGGCCATCGGGCTACCGGTTCCATGAACAGGTCTAGTGTCCACCTATGAAATGAAGTTTTATAAACACCTATAGAATGAGAGAAAAATGAAAGATATCAAGTAGTGAAATATTTTAACAAGTAACTCATAAGGGACACCATGAGGACAATAAACCTTGCTAGACATGATAGGTTATCCAATTGAATGAACACACTAGAAATTTCTTAAGATAACTACTCAACTTGGTTTAACTTTTTATCATTTAGTTACAAAATTGTAATAAAAGGCAAGGACATGGAAAGCCTTCAAGCATTCAAAAATATAACCTGAGGCATGTTGAGGGCTCCATGGACAGAAAAAGGACAAACAAAGTACTTGAGTTGCATTTGGATTTGGAGGCAGAATAGGAATTTTCAATTCCTTGTATAGAATTTCCATGTTTGGATCAATCCTTAGTGTAGTTGAACTCGGTGAAAAGGTTAGAACTCAAAATGAAAGGGGTGACAATTATTTAATTTCTACAGCATTGAGGTGGGATAATTCAAATTCAGTTCATTTCCACAATCAAACACATCCTTAGCAAAGGCAACGGAAGAAAAGTCTATAGCCAGATGCCATGCCACCCTATTCACTCCTCAACCAATTCTTTGACTAATAGATCTACTTGTTTCAGTCTTTAGGAGAAGAAGAAAAAAATTAAACATCTTTACTCTTAGCATCTATATAGCGTGTATCTTGTTTGTAATACTCCACAACCCCTATTGCCATTAGTTGCTTAGTTGATAAGTGTTGTTAGAATTCCCTTGAGCCATGATATTGTGGGATCTTCTTTGAATTAGAATGACGAATAAGTCAAGGGGAGAGTTAGATAATGTCCTTTAAGGTTATTCACTATCCTTTTCTCTAGAGAAGCCCAGATTCCCCAAAGACCAACTCTCAAGTTTTGCTTAATGAAATCAGGAAGTTGGTCAATAGTCTAATCTTTAACTCTATAGGCTCAATTTGGAAGGAGTACAAGTGCAAATATGTAGAGTGCAAAGCTATGTGTTTTGTATTATTTTGTATATATTTGCACTATACATATTTGTATTTGTATTTGTATTTGCACTGTACATATTTTTATCGTCTATGTTTGCTATCTTCTTTTTAGAGTTGGTAAGATAATTGTTTTGTAGGTGAGGCTGAGTTTGGGTTAAAACGGCTTCATCAATGTGCTGAGAAGGAACAAGTTTATCTAAATGCAGAGGGCCCATCAAAAGACTTCAATGAGTTCTAGACAGCTTGCTGGGCTGACTAGGTTACTAGAAACACATATATTGCTGGAACTGAACATTGTGGGGATATTTGGTATTAAGGTGTAGGACGTGATCTGTTTTTTCAAATATTAATCATCATTTGAGGGATAAGCACCTTTTTAATATAAGCCCCTGGGAAGAAAGCCTTGATGGAATAAGAAAGGGAGAAGCACCTTCATCAATCCTATCTTGCTTGTTATTCTCCAATTTCAGCAGTGATTTACAATAGAAATATGAACTTTTAAAATTTAATAACCTGTTTACTTTTGATGATAGTGTGACTTGAAACTACTTTGAGAATTTGGTATGAGCATTGGAGAATGGTTTGTCAAATGTGGACTCCCATGGTGCTACAAATCTAGAGGTGGAAGAGGCAAAGGAACGGCCTCCCAAGCTCCCAGTCAACTGAATGATTCAAGTCATTGGTTTTGTGACCATTGCACATATGTCAATGTTAAGTTTGCAAACACTTGCCAAATGTAGAGCAAAGTTAGAGCTCCAAGATGTGGAATCAACCTTTCATGAGCTATTTATCATTTTCAACGAACTAGTTGTCGTGGTTAAGTAGCAGAAGGCATAACTCCAAATATGTGGGTGGAGGCATTGGATCAAATTTTGTGTTAATTGTATTATGCATTAGATTAAAGTTTTTGTTAATTGTATTATTTATATGATATGAATTTGGAAATTGTAATATATTTTTAACATAGTTGCATATGAATTATAGTTGGAATGCAATTTTTATCTTTTATAATATCATTGGGCTTATATATTGACATTTTACATGTGTATTTTATTTAGATGATTGACAATAATTATTATAATATTTGTAACAATTTATTAAATTAAATATCAACAATTAAAATGATAATTGGCAACAGTTAAGGTAACAATTGCTTGATTGTTGCTACTTCAACAATAGTTTGGAAAAACCGGTGCCATAAATAAGCATAAGAAACAATTGTCTAGTTGTTAACAATTGTAAATTGGCAACAACTGACATGATTGTTGTATATGAAACTTTGGGGCAACAATTGCTTGATTGTTGCCTATTCAACGAAAGGGTTGTTTCCTAAGATGCTAATTAGAGATAAATTTTTAATTGTTGCAAATTTATAAATAACATCAGCTAGTATGATTGTTGCTGAAGGTACCCTTGAGCAACAATTAAATAGCTATTGCTAAAATTTTATGTGGGCAACAATTTTTTATTAATTGTTGTTAAAACAAAACATTTGACAACAATTCCAATTGGTTGTGGCAAAATACTATTGCTGCCAACATGAATAGTATATTTTGCAATAATTGATTGTTGCTAAAAACTTTTAACAATGGCTTTGCTAGCCACAACTTGTTTAATTGTAACTAAAACATTAGGCAACTGTTTTTCCTATATTGGGAACAATTTTTAACTGTTGCCAAAGATCAATTTTGGAAGAATTCGATTTGGTTGACAAAGAAAGAGTTTTTATGGCATAAGAGGTATGTTATCATCTTTGATGATGTTTGGAACATGGACCAACGGAATTCTATACAATTTGCTTTGCCATGTAATAACTGTGGTAGCAGAATCATGCTTACAGCACGAAACAACGGGGTAGTTTTTTATTGTGTAGATCAATTACCCATGTCTATGGCCTGCAACCCCTACCATTTGAAGATTCGTGGAAGCTCTTCTGCAATAAGGCATTTAGAGAACATTGCCTTGTAGAGCTAGAGGAATGGTCTCTTAAAATAGTGAAAAGATGTGAAGGAATGCCACTTGCAATTGTAACTATAGACGGCTTGGTTGCAATGAAAAACCAAAACACCCTTGAATAATTAAAATTTGTGAAGACAATGTTTTTACAAGAATGGGTCGAATTTCATTAATTATTGATTAATTGTACAACAGTGTTTATATATAAAACAATAATGAATAAAACTAGAAAATAATTACAAGAATAGAAACATTCAATTAAGGAAATTGGTCTAGAAAGGAAACTTCCTAAGAAGAGTTTCCTTTTTTACTTTGGTTGGTCTCTCTATAGTAACTTCTCCATCTTTGGTAGGAGCTCTTTCTATAGCAGCTGGTCCATCTTTGGTAGTAACTCTTTCTAGAGTAACAATGCTCTCTTTGGTAAGAGGACTAGAGCTGGTTGATTCCTTAGTACAAGTGATAGTGGGATGGAAGCACATGAAGCTTGGATCAAAACCATTCATATCGGTGAACAGGAAGAAGCTTAGTGAAAATATCAGCAACTTGATCTTGAGTGGAAGAAACTAGACTACCAAATACTTCTTGAGAATAAGGTCACGTAGGAAATGAAAATCGACCTCTATGTGTTTAGTATGGGCATGAAATATAGGATGAGTTGCAAAATATGTGGCTCCAATATTATCGCAATATAGTACTGGTGGCGACTGGGATTTAACACCCAGATTAGAGAGAAGAGACTAAAGCCACATGAGTTCTGTAGTGGCATTAGCTAGAGCTCGAATTTCAGCCTCTGTACTTGACCGAACAATAGTAGGCTACTTCTTAGCACTCCACAAGACCAAGTGAGAACTAGGAAAATTCCATAACCTCTAGTAGAGCATATGTCATCCAGGCAACCTACCTAGTCAACATCATAGTAAGCGGCCAAAGTTTCCGATGTCTGAGATGGGAAAAACAATCTGAAATCAATAGTGCCTTTTAGATACCACAAGATTCATTTAACAATTCCCAGTGTTCCTTAGTAAGAGCATGCAAGAATTGACATTCTTTATTCATAGCAAAGGCCACATCCGACCATGTGAGAGTGACATACTGGAGTGTGCCTACAATACTTCGGTACTGAGTAGGATCAGATAAAGCTTCCCCATGAAACCGTGAGAGATGCGAAGAGGTAGCCATGGGACTAGAAATCGGTTTGGCCACAACAAGATTGGTCTTCAGCAAGAGATCCAAAATATACTAGCGGTGAGAAAGAAATAACCCTGTAGCGTCCCAATGACTTTCAACACCAAGAAAATAATGCAACGATCCCAAGTCTTTCAGGGCAAATGTTTGAGACAAATCACTAATAAGTCGAGAGAGATGAGCCGGTAACAATAATATCATCAACATAAACCAGGATATAAATAGTGATTTGACTCCGAGTATAGATGAACAAAGAGGGATCTCATTGTAAACCATGAAAACCAATATCATAGAGTCGATTAGTAAGACAAGAAAACCAAGCCCGAGGGGCCTGTTTAAGTCCATAGAGAGCCTTGTGAAGTTTGTAGACATGATGTGGATAATTGTTATCCTCAAAACCTTTCGGTTGGTGCATAAATATGGTTTTAGTAATGAACCCATTAAGAAAAGCATTGTGGACATCTAATTGTCGAATGTCCCAACCACGAGATATGGCAAAAGAAAGAATAGTGTGCACAGTAGTAGGTTTGATCACAGGACGGAAAGTGTCAGTGAAGTCAACCTCAGGAACCTAAGTGAAGCCTTGAGAAACAAGTCGAGCTTTGTAACGATCAATTGAACCATCAGGGTGCCGTTTGATTTAAAAAACCCACTTGGAACCAACTACATTCATAGAAGAATCATAAGAAACCAACTCCCAAGTACCATTCTGTATTAAGGCATGAAATTCGGCAGCCATGGCAGAACACTAATGAGGAGACTTGGAAGCTTGGACATAAGAAGAAGGTTCAACTTCATGAGTAGCAATATCATGAAGTAAAGCAGATGGAAGAGGATGGCGAGTGGTAGTTAAAGCCTGAGCCAGTTGGGACATCATAGATTTCATTGCCATAGAATGAGTGCGCATAGGAAGTTGTACTATTGGAGTTGTATCTAACAAATACCTCAGGAATGGCTCAGGGGAAGAAGTAGCAGATTCCTCATTAGTAACAGTGACAAAGGGCGAGGGAGAGGAAGATACCTCAGGAATGACAGGTGCTAGACAAGTGGCAGAGTCAATGGTGTCTAGAGATGGGAGTATCACTCTAGTGGAACCAGTAGAGCTAAAAGATGGTGGTGACTATACGGAGCCAGGGAAGGAGTGTTCATCAAAGACAACATGCCGAACAATGATTTCTTTACTTGTAGGAGGGCTGTAGCAACGGTACCCTTTTGACAGTTGTTGTAGCCAATATATATGCAAGGAGCGTAACAGAAGTCCATCTTGTGCTTATTGTTGAAGGGATGAGATATCCATCGTATGGACGCCCGAATCTTGCAGAATAGAATGGGCAAATTTCAAAAATTTCTCTCCATCGTACTGGGAATCGTATTCCCTATTTTAGAAAAATCATATTTTTAAAGGATCAATCTTGAACCAAGAACCGAACCAGATCTGAACAAAAACAGTAGGAGAGGGATATACCTGATACGGAGAAATAATATCTCCCAATGGAGGTGTTCACGCCCAAGGAAGGAACCAAAAACTGCTCCCACTGAAGATGACGCAGTGCTGGATGGAGCAGAATCAGCAGCGTTCTTCAAAAGAACCAGATCCTTCGCAAGAATCAACTGGATGGCACGTGAGCACTACTTCCAATCAGCCCTTTCACAAAGGACTGATATCAAGATCCAATCTTGATCACTCCCACTGAGAACAGAAGATCGAACTGGCAGATATGGCGGCGGCAGGAAGGAGGCGGCAAGAGAGATTTAGCACAGTAATGCTGAATTCTCTCTTCTGTGATTTCAGCTCTGAAGAGGATGTGAATATGTGTCTGCTTAAGGCTGCCGCCCCCTCCTCCTTTTATAAGCTCAAAGGGATCAGCTCTTAATCAGATTAGGAGTTGCTAATCCAAATCATATTTGGGTTAGAAGTCCCTTAGTGATAAGGGATAATCCTTATCTTATCTGCAAATCAGATCAGCTGTCTCCTAATCTAATTAGGAGGTTTCCAGATCTGATCTGAACTCTCTGAGTGGATAGGGTTAAGGCCCCATCCTATCTACTAATCTAATCTCAGAATTCGCCCCTTATTTAACTGATCAAATCAACCCAGTTCGAAATGGGCTTTAGGCCCAATAAGGTCATGTGCTCACTTAGCCTTCCAAACTGCTGCCCAGTTGGGCTTCCTTGTATGGCGTGGGACCCAARCATTGATCTACACATCAGCCACATGGGTTTAGCCCAGCCTTTATTA